CTAATGATAAGAAGCAACATCAAGAGCTTCTAGTGGGGACTTTCCACCTGGCAAAGATGGCTATAAATGTGGGAAGGCTTTAAGCTGCATGCTAATACAAACAGATAGAAAATATAGGAGAACTAATACAACCTAACCACATAATCTCCAGAGGCATTTACTTGGAAAAAAAGTATTTTATCTGGGTTTCATGAGACCAATTAAGTGGTCCACAGCTTGTTGCTCTACCCATCCCACCTCTCCATTACTGATAGAAAGCTTAGCAGACTCCTTTTGTATGACTCCTCTTTGCCACCCCATTATCTAGTTTACTAGGATACTTGGAAGAAGGGAAAAAAATAGCCATCTACACAGTGCAATATAAACAAAAAACAAACATCTCAGAGTTTGTGACTGAAGACCTGGCAGAATGAAATGCAATGATACGGTAAAATATTATGTAAGGGACAAGAAACTTTCTATATAAAATTATTTTTCTGCTTATCAGTTGAACATAGAAAGGGCTGAAGTATAAGAACCATTGCTGTAGTAACAATGAGGATAAATTGCATAGACATAGTTGAAAGAAGTGCCAAAACTAGAAAAGTGTCCCAGAGGTTCAGGATTCTCCTCAGGGTACTTGATTAGATGGATGCTTCCTGAGTAATTATTTTCTTATTTGGAAAGCACTGAGAGATGCAAGTCTCAGAAGTCTGACTTTCATTAACAAACATACAGAAACCATAGTTGTAATCAAGTGTCAGAGCTAAATATCTGTTAGTGATTTGGCTGTTGGCCACTGTCTGGAGATGATACAAATCTCAGACAAAAATTTGCATAAAGCACAGAGTTTTTTTTACAGGGGCTCATGGATCCAGGCTTTAGGACATTTCTTCTTCATAAATGTCCTGGTTTGGGATGAGTAAAGTCACTCTAGAACAATAAAGTATGTTTAATTGAGATAAGGGATCTAAGGAAGAAAATTTCACTGAGGAGAATCAATAATGGATGGAAGCAGATAAAAGTGTGAGATGGGACAAAAGTGTAACAAAACCTGGGGGAGGGGCAGGGATGGGGTGGGGAGAAGTCCTGCAAAACTATTTAGAAACACACAGCAAAAATGACTGATAATATCTGAGAACATTTGAATCTGTGCTGTAAAGAATTTGAATACAAAAAGGGAAGATTAAATTTAGTGATGCGTACAGTAAGGTTACAAAAACACATAATTTTCGTATGGTAAATTTACCAGAGAACATCCTGGTCTAACAATAGTACTGTGGTAAATTTACCACAGGAACACTATATTTTTGGTGACCACATCTCAAAGCTGTCAATCTCAGAATAAGGGCACTGTAAGCATTTTAGGAGAATTTTGAGTGCAATTTCAAAGAGACAAGGGGAATTTAAAGATAAGAAGGCATTCCTAAGAAGATAGAACTGGAAAGCCACTGAGCAGTCACCCAGAAATCTTGTACAGCAGAAGGTTCAAATATTAGGAAATATTCTTTGATTACTTAGAAAATTGAAGTAACAATTTGATTGAATTGAAATGAGGCAGAATTTTCATAGCCATCTTCAAAGCAATTACTGTTTCCTCAAATAAGAAGCTTCTGTACCTAATAAGGTATAGTATGTTTGAATGTCAATTAATAAGTTTAATCCCATGTAATAAAACACAAAAACTCTGAAAAAGTGACAAGATAAAGTTCATCACATGGCACAAAAGCCTTGCTAAGCATGTAGCAAATACAGTGGTCATTAAAAGGCTAATTATTTGTTTCTTTCTCATTTGAGCAGTACATACAAGTTTAATCACATTGAATAACATCAATAGCACAATTTTTATAAGCACAACCTGTTATAATAGACACAGAATTCTGTCCAAGATGTCCCACAGGGGAAGAAGAAGGAGTGATGCCATCAAAATCAATCAGAGACTTGTATCACACATCATATATTCTCTATCAGCCACATCTAAGACAGTTCAAATAATCTTTGGAGGCAAATCTCTCGTAGACTGTCCAACCAGGGATGTATCATAAGAATGTTTTTATTTGTTCCATAATGAGGTGTCGAAACACAGAAAACACATATAACCCACAGTAAAAATCGAATTACAGGGACACCAAGTACTTCATGGGTGAGGATGAAATTCAAAATTACTTTGAGAAATTGTAGGAATTAACTGAAGTTAATAAAATAACGCTGTGTACAGAATTGTGAAAAAATTAAAGGTTTTTTTGCAAAATCAAGAGTAATAGACTAACAGATTACAAAAGTGAGAAGCAGTTTAAGTTATGATGTTGATATAAATCAAACAAACATCATTCTGGGACATACTAACAGAAGTATAGTACATGTGGGCTACAGGACGTCATTTTCAATGTCAGGAGAGAAACCTCTGCTGGATAATTGTGTTTTTTGGAGTGCCATGGTTGAAAAAAAACTGTAGACAAACTGGAAACAGACCAAAAGCAAGCACCAAGTATAATAAGTGCATTGGAAAACATGACCTGCACAGGGAGGTTGAAATTATTTGTTTAGTCTAGAAGGCAGAAGATTGGTGGGAGACAGAACAGTCTGTAAAAGTATAAAATGTCAGTCAGAACAGTGGGAAATTTCTTATGTGAATGCTAAGAGTTGTGCAAGAACATGGAGGGACTGAAACTGCAGCTGCAGGGTGTGAAATTTGCACTTAGCAAGACAGTGTAAAACTGGAATAATAGTAGAGTCACTAGAGCATGAATACAGAAGTAGTAAGGTACTAATGAAAATTATATTTTCTATCAAAACTGACTTAGAGCAGGATGATAACAGATATTTATTGTGGTGGTACTATAAGTATGTAATAGACTTCTAGATTTCGTTAGCCCTGAATGTGACTAGAGATTTCACTGATGCCAATGATGAAAATGTATAACTGGTATTATTATACCAGTATGGAGGATATTGGTATCTGGCATAGGGACTGGACAATGAAAACAACAGTTATTCATAGGACCTCAGTATTCCTGAACATGAGGATCAACACTCCTCTTTTCATCAGATGTTCAGACAACTATAACTTAATAACAATTCCAACATTGTTAATCAGGATGTTACAAAATGCTGGCCATAGAAAATAAGCTTGGATTACATGATCAAGATTAGACTCTAAGTTAAACAAAAAGTACATGTAAAACAAAACTCCTGATTGCAGTGGGACATGTTTTGATAAATTAAGGAAATTCTCAGCTGGATTGAGTAGTTGTGAGATCAGAATGTTCCAGGGACCTGGAATGTATTCTCTCAATGGTGCAAAATATGGCAGGAAGCTGAATCCCAGGAGCAGAGATGGAAAGTGTACAGTAGAGTCTTGAGATAATGGATGTCTACCCATCTTTAAAAGATAAATTTAGAATAAATAGCTATCTTACAAAATAAGATACAAAAGTACAGAGAAGCAAAAGAAATTGTGTCTTAAAATCCAGAAAACAAGAGTATGATTAAGTGTTGAATAGAGGCTGGAAGGAAATTACTTTCAGGGATAAGACTTGATAATACTCTTGTTTAATATTTTCATAATAACTTGACACATAATACAGGAGCTTTCTGATAAAATCTGCCAATAATAAAAAACTGAAAGACAATAACACAAAGGAATGGGGATATCATACAGGGATATGGATCACCTTGAAATCTTGAGCAATAAAAATGGGACAAAATTGAATAGGATAAAATGTATAAGTCAGGCACTTTGGTGCTAGTAACAGAAGGTCCTCCTCAAAACTAGAAACTCTATGCTTGGGAAAAAACTAAGGAAGTACTGAGGTGTAAAGGGTCATTCCAAAATCACTAGGAGCTTCTAATGGGACACAGCTGTGAATGAGGCAAATGCTGTTCTATGACGTACCAAAAGAGGTATTTCTAACACAAATAAGGAAGAGCAGTGTCACTGTATAAGATCTGGCAAAAACATCTTTGCATGACTAGTACAATTTTAATCATTCCCCTTCAAGGAAACACAACTAAAACACAATAGGAAATGGGTTACTAGGTTAATGAGAGAAACAGAAAGCATATTTAAAAAAAAAATAAACTTAAAAGACCATGATGGGTTAGAGCAGCAGGAGAACAATTCAGAAGAGATGTGTTGATTGCCTATAAATACATCTGAAGAACAAGTACCAGTAAGAGGAAAGGAGTATTTAATCCAAATAATAATACTGGAACAGAAACAAAAGAATATAATCAGCCCTGAGTGTGAATAGAATTTAGAGATACAAATCATAAAAACAAAGTAGTTCTTGAACTGTGTTCCTTTGAGAGTAATGGGGGCAAAAGGAACCTAATTGCCTTTAATGGACAGAGTAAGCTTATGAGAGGAATGATGTAACATAGCTTCAAGTGATTGCAGGGATTGAATTTGATGGTACAGAAAGACCTCTGCAACCTTGTGTTTCTGTTGTTATAAAAAAGTAATGAATTCTTTTGCTCTGTTTCTACTAAGGTAGGATATAAAATGTTCCATTTCATTTGCAAGTTAGAGAACAATGTCAACTTTATATTAAGACACCAGACACTGGAGCAAACTACCTAAGAAAGTTTTCAAGAAGCACTTGAACAAATATTTGACATGGCTTTTCTAAGTGTACTGAGACAGACTTAGAGATATGGGTTGCTTTTCTGAGGTTCTTTTCAGCCCTACATTTCTGCTGGAAAATATAAGCTTGTGTTTCTGGACTCTGGCTTAGCAAAACAGCAAAAACCACAAGTAATTTCTATTAAGTAATTTACACTCTACCACTTCTGGAGATATTTGCAGTGGTTCATTATTTATTATTTATCTCGTGTTCGGAGTGTTTTAGAAAATTCATAAAGTAAGCACAATTCCCAGCTGGAAATGGAAGATTTTGGCTTTCATATCTGGAGATTCTGGTATACACACAGAAGAATACTATTACTGTATTTAGCAGAGAAGGTGCAGCCTGGTGTGAGCTCCATTGTAAAACACTTTCCTTCTCTGAACTTCCTTCCAGAGTGGCAACAGGATTCTGTGTTCCATCATTCTGGACCACTGGCAGGGACCATCAATAATAAATTATGATGATGAGGATGGCAAAACATGCATGCACATTGCTGCTGCTGCAGGCTACAGTGATATCATCAGTGAGCTGGCTAAAGTCCCGAAGTGCAACCTGCAGGCCCTTGATGTGGATGACAGGTAACCATGGAAACTCTGAAGTTGCTGCTCCCCTTCTGATAACCTGAGACCAGCTCTGTCTACTATGTAATCATGTTTCCTGTTTCACAGGCCGTGGCCTAGTAGTGCTGTGCTTGCTCAGAAACATTGCAAACCAGTCCAGTTCGCATATATTGTACTTAGTATGATAACTGACTAGAAAGAATGATATTTAGCTTTCTGTTTGTGCTAGAAAAAGAGAATATTTGTGTAAGGACTTTGCCACGACTCACCTAAGTTTCTTTCAATCAAAAGTGAACATTCTTTTTAAAACAATACAACAGGATCCTTGAAACTTGAAGCCAGGATCTTGCTGTTATTTTTGTTTAAGAAATGGCAGTATTCTCTTGTTGTATTTAAGGTGAAAATACCATGCTCCTGTAGGACCAGAAGACCCTCACCTTCCATTCTGAAAAGACCTGTGATTTCTTCTGTGATTAAGTCTCTATTTCATGTACAGAAAAGTCATCTTTCCTCTTTTTCACCCCACACCTACCTTCCTTGGAACTTTGCCCATAAATTTATTTAATGCAAAGAGAACCAGCTGGCTGTTCACATTGATTATTCTGCTCAGTGCAGCAAAAGCCAAGGTTTTCTTGGCTTAGGCCTTTAGGTACTTAAAATAATATCATTCTTCATGGAAAAGTGCAATAAAATGGAACAGAAATAAAATGAACAGGGTTCTGGAGCAGTTTCTAAACATCATTAAAATGTAGTTGAGCAGGCTGTGTTTCTGTGGAAAGAAGGGCAAAGGAAGGAGATTGCCTACACTTCAAAGTTCATTAAGACATGGCCACCTATTCCACATGCTCAGATATTTCCACAGAATATATTATACTTGGAGAGGGAAAAGGTAAGCTTTTGTCTATAAACACATCTATAAGATTTTCATTCTATTGTGTTTCTGATTACACCCAATCTGAAATCACTGGGACTGAAAAGGAATAGAATGAAAAAATGTCAATTTTTTTTTATTATTTTTTTTATTCTTAAGTACTTCTTTTGCGGTGCTGTCTGTGCTTTCAGGTTTTTCACAAGAGCAATTTGGAAACTGGACAAAAGTTTCTAAACACCATTAAAATGTAGTTGAGCAGGCTGTGTTTCTGTGGAAAGAAGGGCAAAGGAAGGAGATTGCCTACACTTCAAAGTTCATTAAGACATGGCCACCTATTCCACATGCTCAGATATTTCCACAGAATATATTATACTTGGAGAGGGAAAAGGTAAGCTTTTCCCTCTCCAAGAGGGAAAGATTTTCATTCTATTGTGTTTCTGATTACACCCAGTCTGAAATCACTGGGACTGAAAAGGAATAGAATGAAAAAATGTCAATTTTTTATTATTATTTTTTTTATTCTTAAGTACTTCTTTTGCGGTGCTGTCTGTGCTTTCAGGTTTTTCACAACAGCAATTTGGAAACTGGACAAAAGTTTCTAAACACAAGACGCAAATTTTATGCCAAGAACAAAATCAGTTTGATTCTCCTGCAGAGATTCAAAACAGTTATATGTGCTCTGGTCTGTGACTATCACAGAACTCAGAAACTGGCAAAGTGGCAGTCTGGTAGATGTGTTCAGTCCTCGTAATTCATCTGGGAGAGGCTTCTCTTATTACCTTCATGGAGAGTCCTCTGCCACCCATGGCTAATTGTGGTTGGTGTAAAGATGAGAAGAGTTTGTCCCTATGCAGTGGACACTGTGAAGGTTTTTTCCAAATTCTACTCTGAAAACTTCAGTCACTTTTCCTGCTCTACAATTCCATCTGTGGAAGAGATGCTATTATATTGTGTGTAGGCATTCTGCAGCCCCATATCTTCTTTATCTGCAGCTAAATAAATGCAGTTACAACAGTGTGGAATAAGTTGGCTGGAGAATTTCTTAAAATGTGTATTACTAATCTGGACAAATAGCATCTCCTGTGCACACCACACTATGTCATTAATAGCTTTGATTGTAAATCTATTAATCTATTTTAATGATACCCCCCTTTCCTGTAGGACTCCTTTGCACTGGGCTGCAGCAGCAGGGAAAGCTGACTGTGTGCAGGCACTGCTGGAACTGGGGATAGACAGCAGCCCTCGAGACATCAATGAAAACACTCCTCTGACATACGCAATATACTGTGGGCACACGGCATGCATTAAGCTGCTGACTCAGGAGAGCAGGTAAAAGTAAAGTTCATGTCTTGTTCACATGTTGCTGCTGACTAGAAAACAAATTTATTGGTTTTTGAATGCTCCTGAAGAGTTTGGACCCTCAGTGGTGTGTCCTTGATCCACAGGCAATACTCATTTCATTTTCCACCAATGTTGCAACATTACAATCAGTTCTCTTTACAAAGACTCTTCACTGAGGTTGAATACTACTCTACCAAGCAGCAGAGGGCTATGAAGAAGATGTGTGTATAATTCTTGCTCAGTCACCTTCATGTGGAAAACTTGTATAACAGAATAATTTCAACCCTCAGATATATGTAACTTCCACTTATTTGAGATCTCTGTGCACTGTTCCTCATATAATCAGACAGACACATAGACTGAGCACAAAAGCAGCTTTGATGGAAAATAAAATAAATCTCAAGTTGTCATCCTCAGAGTAAGGGTTTGGTAGGATTATCCTAGCCTTCTTTAGTTCTCTACCTTGATACATTTTTTTATTCTGAGTTCTTGTCTGTTAAAAAGTGTAACAAAAGACTTACTGGTTACAACCTTCCTTTCTTTGTGTTCTTCCTTTTTCAGCAGCTGTTATCTAATTAGTTTCCGTTCTTCTACTTCAAGTATGCACTTACATTTATCTCCCCATTTCTTTGTGCTTTCCTCTCATTTCCAGTCAGAAGTTAGTATTGTGTGTGACACAGCTAATATTACCTCTGCCCTTTCTCCTGCACTCTGTCTACTAGAGAAGGTCAGAGATTAGCCAAAATTTCATCTCCGAACCTCTACAGCAATACTGATACCATTTTCATTTTTTTCTTTTTGTCTTTTACATGTTCTCTGTGTTCTTTGGTCATATCTTTGTAGCTCTGTAGCCTATTGTACTAGTGGCTAGTTTTCCCAGTAATTTTCCGTGGCCTTCTCCTAGGCAGAAAGACAAAACAAATTCCAGAGCTCCAAATCCCAGGAGGGACAAGGCCCCATGCTGTCTTGGTTCTTCCTGGCTACCAAGGTTGAGAACTCTTTCAGATACATTCTCATGGACAAAGTACACCTAGTACCAAGGGAGGGACTACAGAGAAGGGGCTTGAGCTGCGGGGGAATTCCATCACCACCTGTCTTCCTAATTGGTGCTTTTTATCAATTACACTAATTTCCTAAAGCCTATAAAAATGTACTCTCCCTTGTGGCGGTGGGCTTTTGTCTTTCCATAACTGCCCCTGAAGGCCTTCAATAAAGATCCACTTTTATATCACCTCCCTTACTAAAATAATCTTGAGTTTCATTTCTAGTTTGGAAAAGGCAACAACACCAGTGTAGGTGTTGGTCAATTATCTTGACCAATCTGAAACTGTGCTGGACCTCTTCAGCAGAAGCTGGAAGGGAAAGGGCAAATGGGAAAGAGGAAAAAAGGCAAGGGGAAAGGGACAGTAGGAATAGTGAACTAGTGCTTTTTTTTTACAGTGTTTGCAATAACCAGAAATACCTTTTTCCAAGTATGACACAATACAAATACCTGATTTAAAAGATCACAGCACATTCTTCTCATTATCATTAGATCTTCACATCTGGTAGATACTAAAGCCACAAAAATGTGGGTTTTTCCCAGACAGCTATGCTAAGTTGCATTAAGATGATTGTAAGGCAATTCACCTATAAGAAAGAGTGAATTAACACAGTAGCATTTTCAGTCTATTAATTACAAATTTGGAATCCTAATTATCTTGAACCCCCTATGCAAAGGTATCTGGACAGAATATTGCTTCATTAATGGAGTAACACAGTTGGTATTTTCTCATTGTTTGGTAATATTGACATTACATTTTGTTTTGTATTTCCAGTAGATCTGAGTTAGTTCATCAGTTTCACTCCCAGAACAACAGACTTACAAAGAAAGAAGGACGATTCAGTATGCTGAACCAGATCTTCCCTTGCAAAAAGAAGAAAGATGATCAGAAAACCAGCCAGAAGGAGAGAAGCAGGGATCAATATCCTGGAGAAGAGACCTCAGAAGTAGATGATATCATCGCCCGTTTTGATTGCATTATGAATAAAAATTGCAAAGACGTTCCAGATGAGTGTAAGACCACCCCTGACTTTAAAAGAAAGAGCACAGACACTAAGTACCTCACAGCAGAAAAGAAGAAATCAGTATGTCAGGGACTTCCACCCATCACCACCCAGAGCTTCCCCCCAATTACTGCAGGCAATTCCTTCCTAACTGCTTCCCAGAGCAAAATGTCAAGGTTCTCCTCCAGCTCCAGCACCCACCATTTTCCACACAAATCTCAAAAGAGTAGGAGTGAGCACAACTTGCTGGACAACACAGACAGCTGCCAGGCTTTGCTGGATGATCCCTGGAACACAGATTCTAACCAAAGGCTCTCTTTCAAAGTCTGTACTAGGACTTCTTCAGACAAACTGATGAATGGCTTGAACTCTGATAGATCTCACCATGTGCTTTTGTGCCCTCCCTGCCTTCCCTCACTTCCCAGTTCTCCATCAGGTAATTTTTTTCTTCTCTATATCCTAAATCCTATATCTACTGATGTGGCTGAGTCAGAAAAAAAGTAAGGACCAATAACATTTCTATTTTTTAATTTTTTTTCAGTTTCTCCTTTTCTCCTATGGCCATCACAGATAGCATGTAGGTGGGACATGAGTTGAAAGCTGAAGAGAAATAGGAGAAATTGGAGATTTAAGTAGGTCTGATGAACAAGCAAAAATGCAGGTATCTAGGAAGTATATAAGGCTCCTGAGCAATAAGTGCGTCCAGGTAATATGTATGTGCTTGGTGAATTGCACATTGTCACCCACTGCCACACCTGCTGCCTTGTGTCCACATCTAGTCCTGCATGTAGATGTGGCAAGGAATGGTTTTGCCCTCAAATCTTTAACTGTGCTGAGAGCTGCTTCTGGATCCAGCCAGGTCCAGTGCCATGCTGGACAGCTTTATGCCATGCCACTTTACCTGTTGAGTTATATTCTGACTGCAGGCTGCAGAGGCACCCCTTCCCACCCTGAATACCACCCTGAGTGCCAGCTCTTTGGTCTGATGTGCTGTTCTTATGGTTTCTCCAAAGCTGAATTCAGGTTGCTAAATTTACAGAGATGGGACAAACGCTTTTATGCTGTGGTCTGGAAATTGCAACAGTAATGAAGCAGAGCATTAGAAATCTAAGGTGAACTTGATACTAGAGTTTGGCTGGATTTGGGATCTGGTATTTTGTTTGACTCATATCCATGTTTAAATGAATCTGCCTGGCTGGCCTGTATTATGGAGTTTACTTTAACATATCAGTGTCTCCAAATTCATCTCCTTTGGGGTTAGTCCCATGCCAAAATTAAACACATCTAGCATACCTTCCAACCACTGCAATATCTAACTGAAAATGGAGCAAGCAAAAGCAAACCCCAAACTTTCCAGTATATCATTAAAAGGAGTAAAAATTTTACAGTAGGTTAATCTACACTTATCCCAAGAGACATGAGCCATTACCCTTCAGTGGAAAGAGGAGTGAACAGAAACCCTAAGAAGACCCCTCAGTTAGCTGCATGATAGTGCAAACTCTTCTGAATTCTAAGTGAAGAGAACTACAAAAAAGCAAATCTTTGCACACATCTGACAACTAGAGCAGAGACAGCCATTTCAGAACGATGGGCCATTATACATAAATTGTGAAAATAAAGGCTGGAAATAGCTTTTTGTTGTAAAAAGGAACTACATTAAAAGTGCCACTTCCTGAATGCCAGGCCACATTCCTGAAAACTTAATTAAACTTCTCCAGAGGTGTCACTGCTTTCTTACTATGCACTCTTCAGCTGCTCATTCAACCATACGAGCCCCAGACTCCACATGCCCAGCAATTGCTTCTGCACGACTCTTTCTACACTAAATTCTTAAAGGTTCAGCTCACATGTGGAACACAAGAATACCTGCAGGGCTACTTTACAACCCCACTGTATTAGGGCACAGTGAGGCTAAGATATTTGAGATCATTGAACTTGACAGCAGTAGCAGGAATAAGCTCAAGCTGGATAAACCAAACTGGAGGACAGCTATTTCTGGGAAAATTTCTTGATGGAATTTGCTAGACTATTAATACATTTGATATGGAAGTAACTACCATGTTATTTAATACGTGATTTTAGATTTTTCTTAATATTGTAGTATACTACATTGCTAAGAAAATGGCTAAATGGCTAATGTCTGCTCTGGACAGAAGGATAGGTGTTTTTCCTAGAAAAAAATGTTTCTGTGGAAATCCTATGACAAAAATCTAGTTGTTATAATGGGAGCCATCTTTGCATGCCGAAAGGGAAGGTAAGTAATCTTATTTCTGACAGTCTGTTATCTCCCTCAGAAAATAAAAAAGCCTGATTCGTATTTAAGTCCAGTTTTCTTTGTACCAACTCCATTTTAACATTTATCATTTTCCAAGAATGAAACTATTCCTATAGCTGGCAAAAAGGACCTTCCTCTGAAACGTGAATTAAAATCCTCTAAGGAGGAAGAGAGTGTCTGACAGGAATGCATTGCACAACACAGATATTGTCTCACATTTCTTCTTGATAAAAAGATCTACTTATCCCTCTTCATGCCTATGTGTGTGGTTTAAATCTGTCTGCCCCTGTAATTAAAGCCACCTGACTTTCTGTGAATTAGAACTGCATTTACTGTATGAGCTCTAGGCCTTCCAGGTCTCCAGTGTGCTGTGCCTGCAGGACTTACAGGGATCAGAAGCAAAGTCTGGTTCCAGCTCAGCCAGCAAGGCTGTGCAGGCAGCCTTCTCTCTGAGGAAAAATATCTTTTGTTGGTTTTTCTTGGGTTTTGGCTGGTTTTTGGGATTTTTTGGAGTTTGGTGGGTTTTTTTTGTTTTTTGGGTTTTTGGTTTTTTGGTTTTTTTGGTTTTTTTTTTGGTTTTGGTTTTGGTTTGGTTTGGGGGTGTTTGGATTTTTTTTTTTTTGGTTGGTTTGTTTTTTGGTTTTTTGTGGGATATTTTGTTATTTGTTTGTTTGGGGTTTTTTAATTGATTTTTCTTTCTTTCTGCAGGAGACTTAGCTGAGGGGGGAAAAAACAACATCCTGTTTTTGAAGACACTGAAATGTTAATACTTCGTTTCTCAATTCATGACTGGGGGGGACTACATGTAATTTCCTAATCACCGAGTATCTAGGCCAGGATTATGGGTATCAGTAATCTAAGAAAACTCAATTTTAAAATATTTTCTCTGTTGACACAGAGTGTTGATTGTCTTGCATGACCATGTCTATTGTCAAAGTCAAAGCTAATTTTTGTGCTCACTTGCTGCAAAGGCAGCTGGCACATATATGTGTCAAAGCCTTTGGAGGTTTTTGTTCTATTATCTGTGCTCCTGGGAATGAAAGATGAGTCAATTTACTAGCTGGGCATTAACACTCACACAGAGGGGAGAGGTTGCTGTGTGTAGCAGTGAGAATTACCTTACTACTGTGCCATTGGTTTCTCCCAGAATTACTGCTCTCCACTGAGTAGAGCAAAGACAGTTTATACTAAAAACTGTTAAAATTCCATGAGAGTTTGCCACCCACAGTACTGAGCTAGCATCAAAAATCTGAAGCATTTACTTATGAGCTTTGCAATCATCTCTTTTTGCAAAATGTACTTCCATCTACATTCTACAGGGAAAAATAGTAGAAGTAGAGAATTCCAAGCGATATGGAAAACAGGAAGCCTGTCTCAAGTAATAAGATAGCTCTGAGACTCCTATCACCCACTTGTCTTTTGGGTTACTAAATTTCCAAATGTAAAATTATACTTTATTACAGGTTTTATTACACTACCTTCTGTTTGCTTGAATAGGTAATGTGAAAAATAGGCTATTATTAAGTTGATGAAGGTATAAGCAGTATGGTATAGTTCAACAGGAAACATTTTTTAGCTAGGAAAGCAGAGCAAAGCTGATCAGTGTGGCTGTCACTTTCTCAAATTTAAGAACCAATTTATTCTGAGACATTCATGATAACATTAACAACTTTTACACAAAATACACTACTATGTGGTCCACCTTCCTAAATGCAAGGAAAAATTTAAAAAAAATACAACCTCTAAAAAGACCCAAATGCAGTTCTGCATTTTATAAGAATGAAATTGGTTTCTTTCAATTTATTCAAAAATAACTGCAAACATAAATGTGCTCTTGAGGAGCAAAGATGATGTCTCAGAGAGAGAAAAACTATTTTTCCAGATGTTGTGAAACAGATAAAAAGGAAAAGTAGAGAAAACTTCCACTTGATGCCAAAACTTCTAACAAGGATTCTTTCCCAAGCATTCAAATCATCCTTGCAAACATGATTATGTTCTGTACCATTGTTTTGCTGGCAGATATCCCATTTATGAAATGAACATATCTCTTGATAGCAATAACAACCTCCTATCATCAAAGCCATAATGGTACATTCACAATAAGCCATTAGTGCTCAGCATAAGCATCACAGAAACCAATATAACTTGAATTGCTCTAATGAGAGCAACAAACAATTCTCTGCTATATTGAAATTGATATATTTAGTCTTTTGTGCAAAGCGGATGCAAGGTCTGTAGAAGAAATTTACCAACTAGACACTAGAGATGTGAAAGAGTAAAACACATGAAAGCCAACCTGAAGTCTGTTTCTGTTAAGCAGAGCTCACCCATACAAGATCCTTCATGCTTTAGCTCAAACACATCAGCTTAACCACAGGACCCAGCAGACTGACCCAATGTCTCTCAACTGCTGTGGCTTTTAGACCAGAGCCTTGCTGCATGCTGAGCTGAAGGCCGCACTGTAACATGGTGGTTTGCCTGACACCACAGTAACTCCTTTCACACAGAATATGTTTAGTCATCAACATAGTTACAGGAGCCGTGACAGCCTCTTCTGTGCACCTTTGGAAAACTTCTAGAAAACTATTTTTCTACAGCTTTATCTTGCACAGCCCAGCAACACATAGGTATTTTCAAGTACCAGCTGCAAAGCCACAAATGCAATTAATGTAATTCCATCTCTTCTTCTTGCTTAGGATGTCCTGCTACATCCACCCTGTGTCTCCCCTTGTCTCTGTGTGCTGACAGAGTATATGCCTGCTCTTCAATGAGCTATGTTGCAAAGCCATGCTCATTGAGCAGCAGCTCATCTCGTTACACAGCTCATCACAGATTTGGTGATAACAAGAAAAATTATTTGAGGGACTCAATCATCACAGAATAAGATCAGCTCAGGAAAAAGATCTGGTAAAAATGTTGACTTGGTGCTTGAGTTTCTGCTTTTTCCTGTATTAGACATGTCCTTTATGTGATGAAATGCATTACATCATCTAACATATGGTCTTTTTTAAAAGTATTAGACCTAAGTTAACTTTAATCTTAACCATGACATGCCAGAATTAACTAATTAACCTTTCCTTTTCCAGTATTTACTCTTGGTGAAAATGATACTGCCATAAACATAGTGTAATAAGGATCAGTATAGCCTTGGTTGTGATGTGCTTTCATCTGCAACAAAACCCTCTCAAAGCTCATCTTTACTGCTTATAGCTTTCAATGTCCTTTTCCAACCAGCAGTTGAACTCTGTTTTTATTTTGATACTTAAAAAGGCTGAGACACTATCAGGACATTTTGCAAACTAAAGCTTCAATTTTGAAATCAAGTCATCTATTTGAATAATTTTACAGATTTAGAGTCCAAAGATTCTTACAGAGACCGAGCTAATAAACTATGCCCATTTTAAGACCTAAAACAATATTATACAAGAGGAAACTATAAAGGTTGTACTAAATCAATCAGTCCTTTTTATGACTGTAAAGTGAACTAGGCAACAGCTTCTTTTTTTTCAGTCAGTGGTTTCTTGTTATTACATATTTCTGAGAAATACTAAGTAAGTTTTCTTTTCTTTTCTAGAAGCCAGAAATGCACAGTGCATCACACTAGTTACAATTATTTCCATAATAATTTTCTTTTTCTTTCACAGGTAGAAGTTTTCGACAGATGTCCATAGACCAACACAAAATGAAAAATGTTATTCCTGTACAGAGCAGCCTAGCTCCAATACCCAACCATAGTGCTCACAAAAGTAAGTACAGACAAGTGTCAGTTACTGTATCACATTGTGTACCTCCATCACTAGCCTCTGACGGCTTGGGAGAGGTTTCATGTTTGTTTTTCACAGCATCACAGAATGGCTGAGGAAGGAAGACACCTTTGGAGACTGTCTGTCCATCCTCATGTCCACAGAGAAGTCACCTACAGCACATAACTAGGATCACATCGGTTTTGTTTTAAATATCTCTGAGAATGGAGATTGAGACTACACACTTTCTCTGGGCCATCTCTTCCAGTGTTTGACTACCCTCAGTGGAAGTTTCTTAGTACTTATTTGTGGCCATTGATTCTTTTCCCTCCAGAGGACTCCACTGAGAAGAGTCTGTCTCCTTCTCCATTACTCCCCACAATCAAACATTTATACATATTGACAAGATCCTTTGAGCTGCCTTCTCTTCTTGAGGCTGAACAGTCCCAGCACTGTCTCCCCTTTAAGGCTGACACTCCAACCCTTTAGTCATCTCCATTGTCCTCCATTGGATTTGTTTCAGTATGTCCCCCTCCCTCTGTGTACTGGGAGCCTCAGAACTGGACTCAGAACTCCGGATGTGTCTCACCCAAGCTGAGTAGAGGGGAAGAATCACCTGTCACAGTCTGCTGGAATGCTCTTCCTGGTGCAGCCCGGGACAGTGTTTGCTGTATTTCTGCATGAGCACATTGCTGGCTTGCACTCAGCTTGGGAAGCAGTGGTCCCAAAGAGCAGGAGAGCTTCACCCCACTCCCAGAGTCCCAGCAGAGTGTCAAGACCATGATTGTTCCAGGCTGAATCAAACCAGCAGCTGGAGTTTTCTTCATACACAGACATCAGCCCTACTCCAGCAGTGTCCTAACCTCACATTCTTGTGCTCCACAAAGCACAAATCTCCCTTGTATACTGGATGAGGATTTACAGTTTGCTGACTGTCGTCCTGCAGATCAGCCAGGTCCAAAATCATTAAGGCCTACATTTAAGATTCCCTGCCACTTAGAATCTGAATATCAGAAGCAATTCTGCAGTGACAATTCTGCAATATTGCTAGAAATGAGGCAGAGGCAGCCTTACAGGGACCATCAGATTGGGTGGGGATATACAGAATCCTGCGCTGCTGCTATTTTCTACATGAAACAGGAAGAAGAAAAGGTGTTTGAATTACTGAGGTGGTATTCTCTATCTGCTCAGATGCTCAGAAGGAAGAAAATAATTTAATTGCTTTTGATTGCTTTTAAAACCCTAGGTCCAAGCTTTCTGGTTTTTAAGCTTTCTACTCCTGTTCTCTGTGTCTTCTAGTTAAATCATAGTTGCAAGCAAAATCCTTTAAAAAATCTTTCATAATAATTTTTGTTCTTGCATTAATTCGTAGAAGTGGTCAATAATTTAGTTATAGTCTCATGCCAAAAAAACTGTTTTACAAATATAATTTGTAAAATGATTTACAAATATCAAGATACAATTGTCACAATTAAGAATCACGGTTTTATTAACTAACACAGCACATTTATCCAGGTGCCATTACTGCATGAACATTAGTTCAAGCCAGTAACAGAAAAGTAAAATTATTTGCAAAATAGACTGTATTTCTTGTTAACACAAATGACATATTTGCTCCTGAAGCTTTCTAAATAACTGTTTCAAAGTCTCACCTCAGTATGAGAGATTTCACTCATCCTCCATCCAGCCCTAAAAGTATTGCCCTTTTGGACATAGCCTTTATCCAATTAAAGTGCTCCAGTAACAAAGACTGAGTATAAATACTTGTGTTTTCTCGAGTATTTTTAATACACAAGATGTATTTTAAAAATACAATAAGAAAAAAAAAAAAAAAAAAAAAAAAGACCACAAAAAACACTACCAAGAAGCAGGAACAATAAAATAAGCAAAAACTAGAATGAGAACTGAAACTGCTCAGAGATAGAGAAAGAAGAAGTATCTCCCCCAAAAAAGGAAGGGCAATGAAAAAAGAAGGAAGAAATTATTAAATCTCTCAGTAAAAACACTTTTAAATACACATTAGAAAGAGGAAAATAGGAATGAAACATTAGCCTGGGAAGAGTACTTGAGTGATTTTAAACAATAAATTCTCACCCTTCAGATATTCCCAGGGCCAGAGATCCCTCCCATGAGTTCTTGAGTAGCCTCAACACAGACTGCATCTCCTATTCTGCATGCTGCAGCTTCATCCTCCACACACTCTTTCTATCTCATCACGCAACACTTCCAACAACCCCTGGAAAACAGGGGTCACACACTCCTCACAAAATGCCAGAATAATTTTTCACACAAATATGGGACTTCTAGAGAACTCTCTGCCGCTCTCACTTCTTCATGTAGTTAAGGTCTGATGTTTCTGGAAACATCAGAGGAGACAACATGTGTCTGATGCACAAAAAGGTGACATAATTAATTGCTGGGAAAAAAAACACAATAACAACAAATTTAGAAAACAAACTTAAAATCTGTTTCTACAGGTCATTTAACAATATTTTCTGGAGATCTATGGTTGTTTTTTGCTGTTATTCATGATTATTTGACATGTCTTCTTTCCCAAGTTAACAGCAAAGCATTCCACATAGCACTCACATCACTGCAGAGGGCCACTGTGGTCTGCTGCTTGCAAAGGAGAGTCCATTCTTTTGCTGGACTCCATAATCCTTGGGCAATGCCTTTCTGACAGCCTTATTTTTGCCTCTGCAGTTTGTAGTAGCAGCCACTCCAGAGTCTCTACTGAGTGGAAAAGGCTTCCTGAACCAGTAGCTCCTGCTGTTCAGGTCTTTGGTGACCGACTCTGCCCTCTGTGTGTGAATCAATAATGGTGCTTTTGCTGTATGTAGCTCCTGGGGCCTTAAGGGCTCTGCCTCCCACAAATCCCAGCTCTGGGTGCAGGCTCATGTGTTTCAATACATGTACTAACACTAGTCATTATATGCATTGTTTCAGAGCCATCCATGTACCAGGCCTGAAATCCTAAACTGAATATTCTAAACTGAGCACAGTATGTGGGACAGTGTGGAAAGCACTGATGTTTGGATTCTTTGAATGAGCATGAGATTGTGATGGCTGCTCTGTCATGGGCGCGAAGTTAAGCTACAGTGGTTTTGGCATACTTAAGTATGCCATCATTTAAAGCTTTTAATGATGTACATAAAGTACATAAAGCTTTATGGATATTTTTCACACAGATGTGGACTTCGAATATATTAACATATGACTGTGTTCCAGAGAGAGGCACAAGTGAGCCTCTTAACACTTGCTGAATGCACACCAAAATTTCAGTGAACTCAAAGCATTCTACCATGTGCTAGAAAACAAATGGGCTATTTATTGTCTATAGCCCTCCCAGATTCACCAAATTCAGCACCAACTAAAGCAAAGTATTAATGGTTTGGGGTTTTTTTCATGGAAAGGAGAAGTGATTTACTGGATTTCTGAACATGAATGAATCTTAAATACGACCCTTGAATTACAGTACACTGCCAGAGGCCAGGCAGTTGTAGTAAACACTGTCTGCTCTGGTAATCACAACTTAAATAGTAATTGAAATTAGCTTAAAAAGAAAATAATCTACCAAGTTTCTAAATCCTCTCTATAAAGATCCTGCTTTGCCCTAAATCCATACCTGGTAAGCTTTCAAAAAGTACTGCTCCTGAAAAATAATCAATTATTAAATCAGTATAAGGTGTATGCTACAAGGAATTATGACAAGAGCTTTAGCCTCTTTTGCACCATTTGTATAGTTAAATGATCGATAGATAGATGTAGAGATAGATAATATAGATATAAATATAGATAGATATAGATATTAGATATAGATAGATATAGATAGATATAGATATAGTTAGATATAGATATAGATGTAGATATAGATATAGATATAGATATAGATATAGATATAGATATAGATATAGACAAATATAGGCAGTGAGGGCCCACTGCAGACACTAGAGAAGTAGAGAGGTAACGTTTGTTTTCAACGGAGCAAATTAAATTAAGCACAAAATTTCCAGCTAGAACACTTCAGAGGAAAGTGTTAATAGCCTCTCAGATAATTCATCACAAATATGCAGATGGAAGAAAATCACAAATGCAATGAGAACATAACCAAGAAAAAATGAATGTTAAAAATTGCAAGAAGATTCTGTAGCCAAAATAGAGATGATGTAACTCCAGAAAGAACTCTTCACATGCTTAAACTATAAGAAACAAAATTGTTTGTATACAAAGAGCTTGTGAATAGAATAGAGATAAAATGAAAAGAAGCTAATGCAATTCACAATAAATTGACAGCACAGAAAAGTAGGTCTACAATTATGGTTTTGAATTCTCCTTTTCAAAAATCAGGAAATCAGTGAGTTGTCTGAATGAAGGAGCCTGCTGATTTCAATTTAAAGAAAATACAGAACTATATAGCTTTGGAGCACAAACAATGTTACACTGATGACTATGAGCTGGAAATAAAGGATGATCTAAATCCACAGGTTCTTACAAGACAACAACAGAGATACATAATGGGTGTGCCTCTCAAGTGTTTTGGTGTGTCTTGGTGTGCTGCTGGGTAATGGGCTAGTTTTGTGGCCTGTGAATAGCAGAGCACATGTGGACCTGCATTTATGATTGACTGTGCCTAGAGAAACCCAGACACAACATTCCACATTCTTCCTTTTCCTCTTCCTTAGATTTTGATCATCAATTACCTTCAGCGATAGAGCATTTTTGTTAGAAATAATATATTCCCATCGAACACTTCTGTAATAGTCAGCCTGTGATTTCTGATGAAAAAATATATTGTGAAAATTTCTCAAACAGACCAAGTCTGCTCCACACAAATGATGGGTTCTCTGCTTATCAAAAGTAAATCTTTGAACTTTTCAAGACTTACTGATCACTAAATCAAAAGTAAATCACTTAACACTGGAGTTGTTTCCTTCAGATGAAGATAACCCTTGCCAGGCTTATCTTCATCTGAATACAAAAATACAATATTTTATTAGTATTTTGATCACATTTTTCAAGTACAGGCTTGAGTACACACAGTAAGAGACTGCAGTTCAAAGGAAGTTGCAAAAACATTTGTAAAAATGCCATGTTTTCACTTTCTGTGCACTTTCTTTTTTTTCCTATTTTGTCTAGTTCAGCTGCCATCTCAGGATGCTAAGAAGTTTAAGTCCCTACGGACTGGTGCAGCTATTCTCCCACCAGCTCCAGTCTCCAGATCTCTGAAAACAGGACATTCTCAGAGTCAAATCCTCTATTCTCTTTTGCCTGGTCTATCTGGAGAGCATCTAAAACCAAGCTGCATCCTGCCTGCTATCCCAAACCAGAAGAAATCTAATCCTGAAGAGGATCTTGAAAAACCACTCACCAAATCAGATGCTGAAAATTAATTCATTACAGTGGCCTAAATTAGTTGAAATATGTCCAAGTGGCTGTTAAAAGACAACTTTACAGCTAAATCTCATTAATGTGCACTAATGATACTGTTGTGATCTGGAGCATAGCAAAAACCAAGATAAGACAGCGCATAACAAAAGCTGCACTGTGTGTGTATATATATGCATTTGCATTATAGTTTTCATGTATGATGAAACTACTTAATCAGCATTTAATGTGCAGTAAATTTATGTTGTGAATGGAACCCTCATAACATGATTTTGTTACAGCAATGTGCTGTTAAGAGTTTCATAGACAAAAGGAACAAAGAGTAAGGTTTTCTGCATGATTTAAAAGTTGGAACTAGGGAAAGAAAATTGACAGGGCTTCTCTGTAATTTGTAAATGCAAAGGTGCTGATTCTGATGCTGTGTGCTGTAAAAACAATCTTTTTAAGATTGAGAAAATAAACTCAAAAGGTAGCTTCAGCAACTGAAGTCTTTTTTCTCTTTGTTTTTCACACATTTTTTTAAATTGTATGTTCATGGGTTTTGTGAATTCAACAAGTTTAAAAAGTACAATGAAATAATTCCTGTGGAACAGGCACACCTTTAGTATTCACTGTTGAAAATTGTTCATTTCACAGACAGATTTATGTCTTATTTAATTCCTCCTACTCCACAATGACAAAAATGCAATTGGTACTCTTATCTTCATAAAATAAGGACTGCACAGTCCTGAGTTTTTAGGCATTGTTTCACTTTGATCACTGAACTGGGGGAAATTTAACTAGACTACTGTTCAGTCAAGAACCTTTATGAGTGGTATAAGCCTTCAACTAAACATTGCACAAGACTGTCCTTTCCTAGAGGCTAACAAACACATCAGCGTTTGCTTGCTTCAGTGTTCTTATGTAAATCTTGCTGCAATTGCTTTACAGGCTTCTCCACTTCTGATTATAGAGGGGCTGTGGGCTGGGGGAGGTTGTCCTCTTTTGTCACACTTCTGTATCACCACTTCTAGTAAGTCGGTCCAAAATTAGCTTTACATCAACAGCTCATTCAACAAGGACATGGCACTTCTGCTTATCTCTAGATAAATGTCTTATTAGCTGTACAAACATTTATTTTGCTGTGTCACAGTAAAAGACAAACGTGACATGAAGATAATCATGTTCCAGTAGCTGCAGTTTCCAATTTCCTTGCGCTAACGACTGTAAATAGGATGGCTGGTGGCTGTCACAGACAGTCCCAGAAAGAAAAAAGCAGAGCACAACAACAGCTGCTCTGATGCAACACAGGGAGAGGGAACTTTTGCACGCAAATAAAATAATGCTTTATTTTTAACCATCTCCCCCAAATGTCATGGTATAAACTCAAATTCAACAAGTGATGTAAACATCTAGCTTCTTGATGAAAAACATAAAACTAAAATGCTCATGTGCTTGGACCTTCCAGAGAACCTGCTCCCTGAGGCTAAATGCAAAAAACACTGCATGACAGATGCATGCACTTTTAAAGGAAAAATCAGATCTGGCATGCTCTGTCTTTGCACCTGAGCAGTCCTGTTCAGGCCAACCTCACTGAAAAGTCCAGAATTTCTCCTGCAGTATAGCAGACTGGTATTTGCTCCACAAGGTCACTGGCTGAGCTGCTCTCTCTACTCTACAGAGCCCCTGAGATTCTTTGCTTGAAACTCTACCTTTGCAAGTCCCAAAATCTCTGTCCTGACTTATGCCATTTTGTATCTGTGTGGCCTCATACAATAGACAAATGGTTCATAAGTTATTTCCTAGAAACAATAAAACTTCAGCACAGACTTTATGCCACTACCATTTGGTAAAAATAAAATTATTTTGGTTTGCACAGATTGTACAGAAGAGAAGGGAAATCTAATTCCTACAGCTCTGGCCGTAATAAGAATGAGGTTTGTCTTCACAGAATGAAAGCCTAAAGTAACCATTCTGGCAGAGATTAATTATCTTTAGTTCAACAACTGCTTGGGAATGGGTACAGCATGTGGAAGTGAGGGAAGACCAAATGGCACAGCAAGGAAAGCCTAGTGAGGTCAAACATCTGTAACTCCTTTTCCACATTAGCCCTTTTCAGTGGGTATGGAAGCCATGCCTTTAGCTGTCTACTGGGATGCCTCAAACGAGGCTGGTCACATGATGCAACTCCAGATCTTCCTGAATAGAAGGGGATCCTCACTGCTACTGCTGGATTTTAGAGAGGTAGTGGATCTCTCTCATTTCTTGCATTACCCTGCAGGTCCAGGAGTCCTGGGCTGCCTAATGGCAACCGTGAAAGCTGTGATGGCACTCATTTGTTTGCCAGCTGCTGTTCTATGCCAGAGAGGAAGATAGAGCAGTCTGTGTTGGCTTCCCATAGAAGCTCGAACAAATTTAAAATGTTTCCAGTATTACAGCAAGAAAGAAAGGGAGAGAAATTCCCCCATGCCTTAGGTTAGACACTTCCATTCCCAGAAAAGAAGCAATCAGATTTCTGGTTTTCCTGTTGAGCAGTGTTTTGTTAAGGCAGCATGGGTGAACAAAGCTGAATAATGAACAATTTCTGATCAAAGATAACATTGTCTTTAAAATTAAATTCCTTTTAAAAATGTAGAATTTCAGGCGCAGTCACTTGTTACCATGCATGTTACCACTGTCTACACAATATACTTGCATGACAGAAGGTTAGGTGAATTTTTCCTATCATTTACCCTTTTTTTCTTCATCTTCTACTTGGAATTAATGTTTTTTTTCCAGGGGTCTGCCACCCAAGAAAGGCTTTTTCAGAACAGGAATGCAAATCCAACTGCCTGTTCAAAGGTAAGCATAGAATACAGTTCTTACCTGAACAGTCTTAGGAGCTGGTAATCTGAGTTAAGTTCCAGGCCACTTTTCTAATGTGTTTTTTCTGTAGACTGCCAATAAGGAAGGAGTTTGTGATTTACCAAATATAGATCTTTCAAAAATTAATCCTCATAGAAAGCATTAAAAATTATTCTCAGAAACGTTCCCACCAGAAAGTATTCTTATCTTTTGAATTTGGTTGCCAATTCTACAGTAAAGGAACATGACAAATTAAGATGAAGTATTTCACCTTCATTGGAGAGCAGACTGTTGACTGCAGCATACTGCATGAAAGATAACAAATGAACCAATACCTACTTAAGCTAGTCTGACCTCTTGCTCAGACCTTTCCTGGAAGATAATGGCAGGGGAGACAATAAAAGGCTAACATTGTTGATTAGCAGTTGCCAAGAAATGTCTGGTCGGTAGGTCATGACAGATTTTTTTTCCCCTCTGTCTAATGATTAAATAATCCTGGCACATTCTTCTCTGACACTAGCTGAGTGTTTATTCACAGAGTGTGAAGTATTCAGGTGTCTGCGGAGTTCAGCTTGGCACAGGGAGCTAAGAAAATATATATGCACAAAGGATATATTTTCTGAACAAAACACACCTCACTGGCATAGGTTCGACATATCTCCTCACTGGCATAGGCTCAACATTCCTTATACCATTCCTATGAACATGATTTCAAAATGCTTTTAAAAGTAGCCTTTATTCCAGTGGACCATTTTCTTATACATTCATGCTGAATGGACTGGTCCACTCTACGAGTAAACTATGCAGGTGATTAGCCTCAGTCCATTATTTAAAACAGAGAAAAACATTCACATGTATAACAAAAGATCACCACTATTATGATGACCTTTCAAAGGCTGTTCTATTGCTGAGCAAAATATCTGATGAGCAGGCTAATTTTCTTGTATAAATACCCACAGAGGAAGCTACATCCTCTAAAATTCAGTCCTAATAAAGCATTTTAAATACCTCTACCACTGGCAAAGGTGGAGATCTCTGTTCCCTCACCACTTAACAGACTGCATTCTGCTACCTTCACCAAGGGATTGTCACCAATCCATATATTTTTCCACTGCAAAACACCAGAAGCATCATAGCTATCACTTTAGCTAGGGACATTAAAAGCATATCAACTCTTCAAACAATTGTGAGAGGACTTAAAGAGCTCATGTGGTCATACAGTCATGGCTCATCACACTTCTTCCTCTGCATTGGCATCTTCATAACGATTTAGGAGAAATATTGCAAGTATACTTTATTTACCTTTGTATTTTAAAGGTTGAAATTTTTTCTCATTATTTTTATAGGGTTTTCTGATGATTCAGACAATCACAGGAAATTCCTTAGATTCTGAGATTTTTCTGTGCTGGCCCTATTTGTGCAAAAGCTCACCATTATAACAGAGGTAGTTTAGACCAGTTTGTTTGGTGTCCAGCCTCAGAGCCACCTCAGACCAAGGGCATGGATGAGTACTTGATGTAAAGCAGTTGACACAGAGACACAAATTAACCCCATGCCTGTCAGGATCCTAAAGTCCAACTTTTCCTCACAGACAGCCAACACTGACAAGGGTCTGCCCGATGCAGCTGCTACTGAGCTTGGTAAGGTCACACAGTCACAGAATCGCTGAATGGTCAGGTTGGAAGGGACCACACTGGGTCATCTGATCCAGCATCTCTGCTCACTCACATTGTACAGCCTTCTGTAGTTAAGCTTCCATTTCCATCTCACTGTTTGTGGTGCTTTAGGTTACTTGGCATCATGATGTAACTTTCTGTGGCTCTGTAAACACTAGAAAAACCTGCAGAGTCAGGGGTACGTTCATACCTGTCTAAGAGTATTATACGTGCCTTCCTGCACCTTTGCACAGATTTCTACGCTCAGCATGTGGAATTCCATCCTCTAGAAGAAGAATGTGCCAGAGTTCCTTGTATCACACAAGAGGAGACTGAAGCTGTCTGAACGCACTAATGCACTAAGAAAAGGCTTGGTTCGGTTCTCCCAATGTATCTCCGTAGCCATCATCACCACTACAAAAGACCCCACAGTCACAGCTTTTCCTTTCAAGATTACATCAGGAAGATTAGTCAGTAAGAGTAGAACTGAGGAGAAGGAGCAGGAGAAGCAGATCCCCTTCTCACACACAGTGCCTTCAGCTATACTTTCTCACTGTCCTTCTATTGCCTTCTCTTCTGTTGGAGCTATTTATGCCAGATAAATTTACATCAGAATTTTATTGTATTCACTACTGCATAAATACCTGCTGTACAGTTAATCAAATGCTGCATTTATGGGCACTTTAAAAGCACAGCTAAAGCCTCTCCTGTACTGTTCCTGATGCAGATCTCATACTACTTACTTTCAGAAATGAAAAAAATCAATATGTAAGGACTTACAGCGAAATTACTCCTTTACTGGAGTAGTTCTTCTTAATTCAGACATCATCTTCTTAACTGAGGCAATTGTTATACACAATAG